TCATAACTTTGCATGCTGAAATGAAACTCTATTCTAGAGTAGTTCCAAGGAAAAACACATACTAGATGACTTTGTCATTAAAAAGACATAAACCCCAGAATTATCATAAAGTCACATTTCAATATTATCTAGCATGAGAAAAAAATGGGGGGGACATAATACATTGGTTATTTTAGGAATTCCAATCAGGTAGTAAGAAAATTAGGTGATGGGAAATAGATAGCCTGATCCCACATCTGTCATTCAACTCTTTGAAGTCACTTCAGTAACATCCCTCTGAGCCGCAAAGATCTGGAGAGGAGGCTGCAGGTGTAAAAGTGATTCTGCAGCCCATCTGTCCACCACCTTTCTGACTGGGCATTTCCTGAATGCCAGTAAATAGGTATATATCACATTGGAATAATATAGATTATTTTCCAAGAACATATAAAATGGAGAGCATTCACTTTAAATTAATGGGGCTGAAAGCCTTTTTCCTGTAATATCTAAGACACCGACTCAACCATTCAATCAGGTATTAAAAGTCTAAGGTAATTTTGAAGACCAGCAGTTGGCATAATGGCTATGTCGCTGGACTCCCATGTAGTTGACCGCAGTTTGAGTCCTGGACATAGTGGCTTAAACTCATGCCAGGTACATGTGCGTGCATGTCCAAGATCCTGAGAGAAGAATAGAGAAGGGACTGTGGTGTGGCCATCCCTCTAGGGGGTGATTTCTCGCTTTCTATCTCTCTGCCTGGCGAGTGCATGTGCCCTACAGCAAAAACCTCTCTAAATAAATAAATAAATAAATGTCTAAGGTAATTTTGGTCTTTGTCCAATCTCTCGACTTCTACTGCTAATCTGAGATGAGTAGGTGTCCTTTTAATGCTTTTTTTTCCCGTGGCGTCATATGAGAAGATGCTCTGTACCATCAGTGGGGCTGTATATGTAATAGATTGTTCTGTGCAACATATGAACCACATAATAAATACCTCCATCACAGACCTCAGGTTCTAATAGTGCCAACATCTAGCCTAAGAGACCAGGCACATCGCAAACTTGTGACGGTAAGGAAAAATCTTGGAAGATTTAAATTAAGAGCATCCCAATCGAGGAGCTAGAAACAAGAGGCAGGATAGAGGAAAGGAGAAAGGAAGAAAGCCAGTGCAGAATACATCAAAGGGGAATTATTAGGTTGTCAGGACAGTCATGACGCATTTTTGCATAGAAAAACACGTCATGACTGTCCTGACAACCTAATAATTTTTATTCTCAGAACGATTATGAATAAAATTCTGGAGGAAGCTGAGAAGTTAACATTAAATATAGCTGGTAGAAAGCATAATTCTGGAAGGAAGCGGACTCCTCCCTCCCTGAACAGGAGAGTCTTGACAGCAACTGCTTGCCAGGGATTATGATTTAATCATTACAATAGAAAGGGTTAGTTAAGAATGACAGACTGGCATCGTGAAATAAAAGATAAATGGTGAAGGCAGGTTTTGAGCTCCAATTCTCCCACATCATTGGAATGGTTCAGCAATAGCTCAGCCTAAGTTTGCCTGGAGTCTTTCCTTGGGCTTTTGCAATCTTAGTCATTCAGTTATTGACTTCTGTATTCCATTATTACTCTGGACCTACTCTCTACTGAACCAGAATGATGAGCTCTTAAAAATGGATATTTAAACCAATGGCTGAAGACTCTTTCTCTCTGCAACTGCCCACAACAGGCAGGTTCTCCTTTCACTGTGTTTTCATACTTAAAATTATGTTACTAATTTGCTTCTGTATAAATCTGTGCCAGGCAAAAACTTAGAAAAGAGTCTCTTTTCATGCTCTGCTTTAAACTACAATGGTCGTGTGGATTATGTAAGCATTCTGGCATTTGTGCAGAAAGATAACTTGTAACATGGAGGAAGGGGGAATTATCCACTCTGTAGAATTCATTGAGTCTGTGTTACAGTATCTGATAATCCTTGATGTTTTATGTCCATCCTGAGGGAACTGAATTTGAGATAACCAGGTAGGTGCTATGAAATGATATTTTATAGAAATACATACTTTGGGAATAATTCTTAGATATGATTATGTCTCTATATATGGCCTACAAAGATGGCAGTAAGAAAAGTTGAAGAGGTTGTTCGATAGTAGGAGCAGGGCAATGTCTAAATCAAAGGAATTTGTTTCATCAAGCTCTCCTGGCAGTGATTCTGACAGTGAAGTTGACAAGAAGTTGAAGAGGAAAAAAGCAAGTTCCTCCAGGAAAACCTGTAAAGAAGCAAAAGACTGGTGAAACTTGTAGAGCTCTGTCCTCTTCCAAGCAGTACAGCAGCAGCAGAGATGATAACATGTTTCAGATTGGGAAAATGAGCTATGTTAGTGTTCCAGATTTTAAAGGGAAAGTTCTAATTGATATTAGGGAATATTGGATGGATCCAGAAGGTGAAATGAAACCAGGAAGAAAAGATCTTTCTTTAAATCTAGAGCAATGGAGCCAGCTGAAATAACAGATTTCTGACATTGCTGATGCAATAAGAAACCTGTAACATCCGATCCATATAAAACCTATACTGTTCTAGTTGTTTTAATCTGTCTTTTT